CAGTTTGTTGCTTGAAGAAAGCTAAAATATTCTAGGAAGTCAGGCTAGCTGAATTTAGATCTTAAGTGGTGCCAAAACTAATATAGCCTGTAACTAAGTGAGAGTGACTTTGCACAGTAAATGTCAGTCACCCGCAGCTTTGTCTTACATTTTCATATGAGCCTTCAAAAAAGGAAAACACAAACAAAACCCCAGAAAACGTGGTAGCTGCTTACATCCAATCGAGTTATAGCGACAGTCTACTGCCTGGAGAGACTGCTCCTCATCCTCAGCGCATAGCTAGGGCTCTGCTGGAGCTGGGGGCTGGACAGATGGGGATGGACTTGTCAGAGCATGAAACGCCTCCGGCAGTGCGGGAGCTGGGCTGGCCTGGAGTGCCCTCTCTTGGCAGCTGCAGAAACCTCACATGCTGGTAAGGTCGCGGAAAGAGTCAGTCGGTGGTTTTAATTTTCCAGTGTGGTGGACAGAGGTAAGCTGTATTGGTTATACGTCCAGATTTACTTCCTAAGGACCTCTGCTAGCGAACTTGAGCGTGAATCTTTGGTGCCCATGGCAAGTTCGAATCCCTCACTTGAAGCTATGGTGAAGTTACACGCTGCAGCAGCGTTGCCCGTATGACTCTGTTAACTCAGTGCTCCTGGGACTCTTAACATTTTAGCAGAGCTCAGGTTTTTAAGAGGCTTCATGCTGCTCCGAATCCAGGGATCCCAGAGGCAGCAACTGCAGTGGCCCCTGCTTGACTCTGCACTGCTAAATGAATCCAGAACAAATGAGGCTCTGAAAATAAGAAGAAAAATTTGACACCTGGTCTCCAGGAAACATTTGTGGATTTTGATGAGGAGCAGTAGGGGGGAAGGGAAAACCTATGGTTCAGCGTAGTTAAATATATGGTGTGCTAAGTATGAATAAATTGTGACTATTTTACACAAGTTCATATACTCTATGGCTGGCTCGAGCACAAAGGAAAAGACAACAGCTACAACATACTAGTTCCTCAAAGGGTTACCTGGGGGCCAGCATCCTGCACTGCTGCTGGTGCATGGCAGTGGTCAGCTTTCATTGTTTATACGAGTGGTGAACTTTTTTAGATGTAATTCTTTTTTAAAAAAAGAATTCGTGTCAGTGCTTGTGAGTTAAGGACGTTTGTCTCCTGATAGCCTTACTTTGCGGTCCGATTCCTTTCCTTATTGTTCATAAATGATTCATTTGTGTAAAGGAATCCTTCAGTAAACTGAAGTTAAAAGTTCATCTTTAAATGTACCAAGGCAGTTCATGCCCATTTTAAGATGACCACATTGCATGGGGCTGTCCTGTGCACACTCCCTCTGCTGTAATGCAAGTCATGTAATAATTTCTTGAACTATTAAAGTTGAGTCACTTCTGTATTCCAGCCGAGTACCATTACAGCAACATCTTAGCTCTGGGTTTGGGGAGGGAGTTTCTTCCCACCCTGTAAACAACATCCGAGTAAATGAACCTTTTGCTTTAAAGCAGACTGAAGTCCAGTCCTGACTGTTAGTGACTAAAAATCACTATTATCTGGCTTAATGTGAGCCAAGTAAAATGAATCAAAAGCCTTAGGGTAGGTGTGCAGTAGGGGTTAATGCTGTTTAGTAACCTCATATGGCTCTAGCTGGTCTGTTAACATGGATGTGGCCCCAGAGTCCATCAGGGCACTGTGGGAGTGAAGTTGCCTTTTGCAGTTAGTATAGAAGGTAAGAATCTGGTTTTTAGCCTGCTGCTAGCACTGCTTTCTGTTAAAAACAAGGCAGCAACCCACGCAGTCCAGTTGTAATCACTGTTTACAAGATGTGAATGTGAATTCAGTGTTTGCTGTCTTGTTTTAGCAGGTGTTTTTCTTTAGAGTGCATTTGGGGTTGAGTGTAAATCATAAGGCAAGGTTTCGAAAAAAAAAACAAAACATGTTCCTTTTGTTTTGATGAGAAAAGCACGATGCAATCCACAGTTACAATCACCCTCATGTTAAATTACAGAGAATATGTATTGATGATTACACCTTGAAATTCAGTAGGTCTTTGTCTTCACGTGTGGCTTTTGTTGCGTTCCTCATGGCAATCGCATTGCGATTCACGGTCACTGGTAACAAACACTCCAGGTTTTACATCACTGCTCACGTTACAGGCTTAGCCCCGTCACTGTGTAGTTTATATTGCTCTTCTCTTCCTGTACAATAGCTCCCTCTGCTTGAAAGCAGCAGTGTAATTACAACCCCTGTTTTGTATTTGCCTGATCAATGGTTTTTAATATGGGCCCCTTTTTTAAGAAGATTTCTGCTGCTGCTCTTCAGGAAGCAATTCCAATACGTGGCTTATGCTCATGCATGTTGTGAAGCAGTGAGGGTAAACCACAAACTTTACTGCATGGGAACTGCACAGGTTTGCAGGAACTCAATGTTCATTTTCAGCATGAGGATCAGAGCCGGTTGGAACGCTTTCAGCTAAATTATTTCTTACCAAAACATCATGATTTATTGAAGCCAAAAATGTTTTTATTTCAGTGAAAACTTAAGTTGAAGCAGGACTGTTTCTCATCAGAAATATGGTAGTTAGGCCACTGACCTTGAATATCTGCATAGAAGAAGCTAATGGTGAGATTCCCATGTCCTACTTAAGTGGTTCTGATCTGAAACCCAAAAAAGAGCAGCTTTGGATCAGACAGAGCAGGAATTTGAACCTGGTTCTCCCGCATTCTCAGCCAGCACCATAATTCATTGGGCCAGTCATTCACTCACAAATTTTTGTCAGCTTATCTGCATCAGTAAGGATGAGTGCTGGTTTTGTTTTGTTCATTTTTTATCAATATAGCTAAGCCAGCAAAAGTCATACTATAAAAACTGTTGCATCAGCAAAGGTGTAGTTTTGCTGAGAGAGCATTCACCCATTTAGGGAACCAGCATAAACCTTGCCTGCCGTGGCAAGATGAGCCTGTGATAGGAAAACTTGCTGGTTTAGTTCTATTAGCAAAGCCTTCCTAATGTGAACAGTGCCTTACTTGCTTGAAAATGGCTGTCTCAACACAATCCTGGTTTTGCAAAGAAGTCCATAAGGTTATTTTTTATTTTGCATTGAAGCAAACTCAAAAATTAAGAGCATCACAAAAGTCTGTGTAAAAAAAGTATTTGTTCTATGGTCAGCTGTCATGAGGATGGTTAGGCACATGGTTTTGTCGGAATGGGCAGGCAGGGCTGACTCCCTACACAAAGGGCAGCAATAACTTTACATTTTCAAAATTCAACATTCTTAAAGCAAAACCTGTCTTTTTTACATCTCGGAATCCTTTGTATTCTTCTTCTGGACCTCCTGCATTTGGGTTTGTTTTGTTTCTAAAAATTTCCAAAGCATATGCAGAACGTGGGTAACCTGCTATTTAAAACAACTGAAATCCTTTCCCCTCGGCATTGTGTGAGGCAGGTTCGAGCATAAACAGTCGGACAGCCCAGGCATATTGGCACGGGCTCAGTAGGCAGAACACCATCGCACAGCAGAGGGAGGTTGCTGGGTGTGATTATCAAGACATGATACTCGCAAGGAAGCCTCTTCTGTACAATGCGGATACTCGGTGTTTGGGAAGATTATGAAATGGCAGGATTAAGCAGTAGAACAGGAGAGAATTATTACTAATACGTGTTTACTTCAGTTCAGCTTCAGCATGGCTCTTCCTGCCGAACTCTTAATTTCAGCCATTTACAGAGATTACATTCATTGCCTCATGTATTTGCACGTACCTTAAAAAAGCCCCCATCGTGTTCCCTTGGAAAGCAATGTATAGCCATATAAAAATAAAGAGTTAAAAAAGCATTCCTGTTTTCAAATTAACACTGAGGTGCTGAATTCATGGTGGTCTTTGTGATTTGAATTTTGCCTTTTTTTTTTTTTTTTTTTTTTTTTTTTTTTTTTTTTTTATTATTCCTCCCATGCCCTGAATAAGATGCAAGTCCTGAGGGAAAAATAATACATGATTATGCATTTGAAGACCCAGTGCATACAAGCATGAGCTTTATGAGCCCTTAGCAAGGGGGAGAAAGGCTAATTCTAATCTTAAAAAAAACCCAAGGAAACAAAAAAAAAACAACCCATAAATTTGTTTTGTGTATCTTTCTGCCACTGTATAATTACTTATGATCATTTTATTGGATTGAAGATTAATTTTTAAATGGCAGAATGTGTGATAGTAATGGTACATGGCACAACACAAAGGCTAATGCTGGAAAAAAAAATTAAGTGAATATCTTTGCATCAGCTTATAGCCTCTCCAATGTGTATAGTATTTTCTATTTCACATTCCTCTGTGTACACCACTACTGTGTTCCCTGTCTTCAGTAATAATCTTAATTACTCTTCTGTTGGTGTCCCCTGTATTGTCTGTTAAGGAGGCTTCATGGGTGAAGAAAATGTCTTTTATGAGTTGTCATGCAGATTTGACAAAGCAGGAACATTGCAGTAATATAGCAAAGGTATATTGCTATTTCTTGAATGTTTTGGGTTTGATTTTTAATTTTAACTTGATATTTTTAATTAGATTTCTAATCTTGCAATGATTTAACATTAATTTTGCTGCTATGAAGCTCTTGAATGGCATGCAGAATGCTTATTTTATGTAACATTAGCACGTAACAGGCTGCATGGAGGCTTGTGGAAGAGTGCCAGTGTTGTTTTTCTATTTGCAGGTTGGCCTGGCCGTTTCTCTGTATGTAAGAGGGCAGGCAGGGTATCAGTCAGCTTTCGGATCTTAAAATTTCTTAATGGATTAGGCAAGTGACGGAATATCTTCCTACTGCAAACCTTTCATTTTGTAAACTGTAAGCCTTGGCAGTATTAGTAGACAGTCCTTTTGAAGGTCTCAGCAAGCTTCAGTTCTGTAGCATTAGATGATGAATGTGCTTAAGTGTTCTTTACATACTCAAAATAAACATCAGCTTTCTGGGGGATTTGACTTTTTTTGTTGTTTTTTTTTTTTTCTTCTTTTTTTTTTTCCCCCAGGATCCCTTAGATCCAACAAGAACAGCCATTGTGATCAGCTCTTTGGTGGCAGGCGGAGTAGCTGAACGTGGGGGCAAGCTTTTACCTGGTGACCGCTTGATGTTTGTAAATCAGACATATTTGGACAGTGCCACTTTAGCAGAGGCGGTGGAAGTGTTGAAATCTGTACCTCCGGGTAAAGTTTCCCTTGGAATCTGCAAGCCTTTGGTGGTAAGGACTGATTTTTTTTTTTTAATTTTTTTTTTTTCCATTTGATTCTATGACATGTGTCGATTGGGTTGCTGTTGGGGGGAAGAAATTTAGGGTAGATGTATGTATGCGTGTGGAAGGTGACTAAGTTGCTATGCATGTACCTTGACATGTCCAGAAATTTTGGCTAGCTGGCAAATGGGCAGCTCAGTATCCAAAAGGTCTGACTGGAAGACCAGCAAGTTTCTCCTGAAAGAACATCCAGATGGAATCCAAACACATGTCTGGGCAAACCCGTGCACCCTGGCCCTATGCATAGGTGTAAGATGGTTTGAGCAATTCAGCAAATCAGTTAAATATGTGCTGAAGTTCATTTCACTTTAAGACACTGCTAAGTGCTTGCTTGAGCTCCACTGACATCAAAGAAACTTAATCTGTTTGAAGTCAAGACTGTAAATTCAAGTAGAATTTCCTTTTTCTAGAATCAGGGCTTTGGAACAGACAGTAGTTTACTTGAGAACACTGCAGTATTGTTCATCAAGGGCACCCAGGCAAAATTAATTAAAGCACCATCTAATAGAAAGTGCTTGTAATTCAAAGTGGTAGAGGAGTGGTGAAATAGGAATGTAGGAAGGCTGTTAAAGATATTCTTTCCTTTTTGAAAAAGTGATATTTCATTGTTCATATCCTTGTATTTGTCTTTCTTATGCATCTCTCTGTTTTTTACTCTATCTGTACTAACATCTTAAGAATAAAAGCTGTTGTCTTCATCTTCTCCATTTATGATTTCCCTTTTTTAGAATTCTGTCACCTTTCTAATGGCTAGTTTTTCCTCTCCCTTTTTAGTTTACTGGAAAATATGGGAAATTTTGCTTATTTTCCTAACGTCATTTTGATTGCCTTTCTTAGGGAGAAAGCAAAGAGGAGGAGAATATGCACAGTGTCGATTCCAGCAACATTAAAACCAGCCTTGGATCTGCAGAAGCAATAGATAATATTAATTTCTCCCTGATACTTGAAGCACCACAGGTATTTCATTACTATTTTGGTTCAGCTTAAGTTTATACAGACAGGAAATTGTGTTTTAAAGTAAAGAAAGTGGCATGTCCTTCACGTAAGACTTAAGTGTCAGATGGACTTCAGGCTGGATTCCCTCTGTAAAAGACTCCAATAGTTAACTGTATGCTAATTGTATTGTGAACACTAAGCATATGCATAGCACTTACCAATGCAGTTCCCAGACTGTCTTATCAAATTTACTATGCCATTAAAATACCTTGGGTTACCTTGGATATGAAATAGGAATGCTACGTTATTAGTAATCGTAAGTAGTTTGTTCACCTTTGAGGAGGAAGTAAGGTATGGAAGCAGAACACTTTTTATTATAATGAAGCAAAACAAAAAAAAAAAAAGGAGTCTAATGTATAAGGCAAGCTTGAAATTTGTTCTTCTTCATAGACTTCTTGCATGTCTTGAGTTACTTCTTTGCTCTCTTCCTCAATTTTTCTTATTTTCTGAGAAATAATTCTGTTTATTATGGGAGGATGAGGCACTAAAGATAGTCAGAAATTCAGATACCTGGATGGTAGGCAATAATACTGCAGTACTGACCTGTGTAGGGTGACAGAGATGTGGGTATTTTCAAATTTTCATCTGTTCTCAAATGCCTTGCCAAATTTTTATTAATTTACCTTGGTAAAAGCATTCTTTTTAGACCAGAAAAGACAATACGTAAAGGATCATCCAGAACTGCAACACAGTAATAAAAATAAATTCTAGATTTTCTTGTTGCTAAATGTGTATACCTGACTCTGGATACAAACATATCCTTAATGCTGAAATGGCATATTAGAACCACCAAAAGGAGCAGTATTACAGGGAAGATGTAGGTATACTATGTAGAAATTAGCTTGGATATGATATTTACTGATTTTTATTGTAAAATGAAGGTGGTTGTTTTCCAGCTGCATAGGAAGGGTTCCTGGCAGAGCAATTAGTTCTCTGCCAGCTCAGATTATTTATTTGCTTCCTAAATAAAACTAATGTTAGTAAGTATTTTTAAATAAAGTATTTTATCTTAAAGTCCTGCTGAATATAGAAACTGGAATGATCAATTTGTACAGAATAAATGCAGAGATATTTGCTTGTATTTTGTTTTACCTTGTGTATGACAGCACTGATAGTAGCTTAGAGCTTAGTAAAAAATTTCCATCCATTTATTATCCTACCTGCCTATATAAGAGCCAAGTGTAGTGTGTCATGATGGCTTCCACTCCTATGCACTAGCATAGTGCTGACAAAGCTGACTTAAAAAAAAAAAAAACAAAACAAAAAAACCCACAAACCCTTGAAGATTTTATATGCTACAACAGTAGACTTTACTGTCATGTTTGCAGTATTCCCTATTCCATTGGTAGCGTCTGCTACTGCAGTGCAGCAGTCTGTGATTATACATACCTAAGTGCTGTATCAGGGGGTGGTAATACAAATCGCTGGGTGGTTCTGAGCTAAGTCAACTGTTTTATACAACGGTGAAGTTGGTGCCTCTTACAGAAGTGTTTGGAGAATGATGCTGCAGAAGCGAAGTGAAATGAAATGAAGTAAAGATGGAGAGAATTAGAATCTCTTCAGACTGGGTATTTTTTGAGATTGAGGTACACAGATCAAGTAGATTAAAGGAACATCTAATGCTTATTAAATATGTGCTAATTTCTAGATTGCTCATGTTCTGCTTTTGTGCCAGCTAGTATTATTGCCTTGTTTCCTTATGCTCTTGCCTGTCTCTTGTTTTCTCTCTTGCCTCCCATTTGAACTATGCAAACATTTTTGGCAGAGTCTGGGTTTTTTTTTCTTCTGCATTTGTACAAACCTAACAAAACAGGATTCTGACAGTAAAGGTCAGAAATAGTGAAGTACCTTGGGGAATCTGGGAAGGGGTGGGAAGCAGAAGGAAAAACATTTTGATTGAGGACCCCTGAATCTGTAGGTTGGGTTCGAGTTTGGGCATACATACTTGATGGCCTGAAGAAAAGAGAGGAGAAGCTTTATGGTAGCGGTGCAAGGTATAAAATTTCAGAGACGCCTCTACAGACTCACCTCACGAGCACCCTGTTCACTTTGGGAGAAGCATTGAGCTTGGAAACTGGGGAGGCACACAACAAATTCTAGAAAAAGAAGCACTGAGTAAGATCTTTGAGAATGGGTTTTAATACCTTTTCTTTAGGTTTTGTTGTTTGGGTTTTTTTGATTGTTGCTCTGTGGTTTGAATTCAATAGAAAGTTGAACACTTTTCTATTTAAAACATAAAGGTATCAGATAATGAACAGTCAATTACTTTTTTTTTTTTTTCTGAGGATGTGGGTCATCCATTTCCCCTCTCCCCCATGTTAGAATATTGTATGGACTACCCAAGGGAGAGACAAAGGAGCGTGGCTTTTGGGTTTGGTTTTGTGGTTTGGTTGTTTTTATTTTTATGGCTGATACTGTTGCATAAGCAAGCTCAGGTTGTTTTTTGTTTAGCTGATGGTATTGTAAGAAATGTACATGCATTCATAAAGTGATAGCAGATATTTCTGGAGCACAGAGACACTTTGGCTGAATTTATATATACTTTTTCTTGTAGATTTCTTAGTGTTATGTCATAATTCTCATTCCTTAACTTTTGTCCAGATTGGTTATTCTTAATGGCTGAAGCAATATCTAAGCTGTACATCTTAAATTTCTTTATTTTAAAAAAAAATAATGGCAATGTCTACTTTTGGTGTTAAAATCATAAGTCAGAGAGCGTATTTTCTGCAAAGGGTGGAAGATTTTCACTTTAAAAATCAGAATGTACTTTTAATATGGACCTAACATAAAACATAGTTTTAAAAGAGTTAGCAAGAAACATGATGTAAAATCTATATTTCTGTAATGTTTTCTGCAGGGTTTCAGAGATGAAACACCTTTTAAAGAAGAACTTGTTGATGAACCAAGTTTGGACTTGGGAAGGTCGTTTCAGCTTTCTCAAAACAATAGTGAGTATGAGAAGGAGTCCTGGGAGATGCATGAATTTCTGAAACCCAGAACAGAAGAAACAGAAGAAGAACGGGAAATGTTGGTGGATGATGAGTATGAAGATTCAGACTTCTTGAAATATAATGCGTCACATGGACAGAAGGCCACTTCAGAGAGGAACCTCGATACAGAACTATGGGCAAAGCAACTTGAGACTACTGAAATACAAGACTTAAGATCCAGTGTTAACTTAAGTCCAAAACAGTCCCTGGAATATCCATTCAATAAACATCAAATGGTAAGGAATGCTGTGTTGGTCTCGGTGCTGTACCCTGACCATGGGACCCATACTTCAAGGCATATTCCAGACCTGAACTCTGTAAGGAGTCTTTCTAGAGTTTTAATTACTAGATGAGATCTGGGTATCTCTAACAGACGCAAGTCTATCCTTTTGTACATTTTGGAAAGTTCTTTTCCTTACTTAGTGTTTGTGTATTTAACTGCTCAAATAAGACATGTGCTGTGGTTGGTGTATTTACAGGCATCCTATACTTGTATTGTCTTTCCCATCCCTGACTTGTGGGCTCAATACTTTTTTGCAAGCTGTACTAATGTGGTGCATGTCAGTAGAAGCAGAATGTCACTTTGTGGTTTTAATAGCCCAGGAGCTTCAGCAGCAATGTCAGTGAAAGGAGCTCCCTCTTTCCCTCATTCTTTTTAATCCAAATCCGTTCCTTGAGCCAGATGATAGTGCAGTTGAGCGAAAAATGATATGGAAAAAGCAATTGTAACAAGCATACTGGTGGATGAAGGACTAGGAGGAGACATCTCCAGGTAAATTGCAAAACTCTTATTTATAGGTCTTCCTCAGGTATCATGAGAATTATTTTTTTTCTGAGACTTTGTTCATTCACTTGCAGAACAAAAAAGTGATAATATCAGGCTTCCATGCACCAGCTTCCAAGTTGTATGCAAAAATATGAAAAAAATTAAGTGGAAAAGGATTTAATATCACAGCCACCGATAACTTCAGGTTTCGTTTGGCTTGTCCCTTTATTCACTATGTACATAAACAGACTAAAATGCAGCTTCTAGTGACAGTTTTATACCAGAGTGAACAATATTAAATGTATACATTTGCTGCCCAAAACCAGCAAAGGAGCAAGAGTAAAGAACTTCTTGTCTGGATTACAGGCAAGTAGAAAGATAGAGTTGCTTTATATTGCAATTGCACATAACATTTTTCATGCCTCTACTTAATATAGAGCATAAATGAGAAGTTAGTATTTCATAGTTTTCTGAATAAATATGATTGTAGTTGAGAAAATGTGAATGTTTGCTGTAAAAATCAATGTTTATGTCAAATACCTCTGTACAAGTTGATACCGTTGCTTTCTAACTTTAATTACTTTTTTCCTCATCTGTTTAGTGTGAAGAAAATGCTAGTACAAGTTCACTATTTTCTGGAACCGCAGTACACAGTGGCTACCAAAAAGACATATTTGATACTGAAACTACCCAGTCAGGAGCAGAAAACAAGATGGATTTAGGTTCGTAAGAAGGTTTTTTCTTTTATCTTAAAATTTCATATTTACAAATTAAATTTTATACTAAAACAAATTCTTTTAAATGATAAAATATTCAAATGAAGACTTCTGGAATCTCAAGACAGTCTGCCCTTAAATAGGTTTCAGCTTCATGATCTTGCTTCATCCTCTAAGTCTTGACCTACTGTTGTCACAAGGGATATTGAAAGCAGCTGCAGCTTTGTCCTGCTTAGGGAGAATCATTTCTTCTGTGTAGCTGATGTCCACAGTAGGACTCACTGCATAAGTAAATAGCTCATGCCTGTAGTTTCTGTCAGGAATTTGTCTTGGTCACATTTGATTGCCGATTTTACAGATTATTGCACTTCGGGGGGGGGGAAAAAAAAAAATGACAGGCTCTGGAGGTAACTTTACCACAACCACAGTTTGCAAGTGAACTGTATGGTAGGTAATTTCCCCATACCTTGGTTTTGTAATCTGTGCTCAGAAGCAGAGTTTCTCCTTATCAGATGGCCAGAGATGGATGGTTAGAATTTGGTACATCATCAGGGAAATAAATATATCAACCTGCCTGAGATAGCAATCTCTGGTCAGGAGAAAGGAGGTTGGGTTGTTTCCTTTCTTTATCACCTACATCTTGTACAGCAGACACTGTGTAAGCTACAGTGGCAGCCTGATGAGTCTTGCAAGGAGCTCTGGTTATTCAATTAATGTTGATGCTTATGTCACCAAAATGACATCAGTCTTCCCCAGCGTGCTGGCGTTCTGTGCTGGAGCAGGGCTTTGCACTGCTCTCCTTGCATAAAGAATGGATTCACTATTTGTAATGGTGTGTTCTTGTGAGGAGTGTCTGGCCCATAATTGTAGCTGAGCATGTCTCAGCTCCACTAAGATTTGGCATTTCCTGTTACTGCCTGACTGCATGTACATCTGAAACAGGGGGCTATAAAAAAGCATTTCGTGTGGTTTCCTTCAAAACCAAATGTTCTGTATCTCTGAGCCTCTTGATCATCACACAGCATTCACATTTGGAACGTGGTGAGCTAAGGGGTTTATTTCCAAAGGTGATAACTGGTAGACACAGGGACAGGGGAAGCCAAAGTTCACATCTATACCATTTCTTCTTCAGGTCCAAAGCTTCAGATTGACTCTAAAGAACCTGGGCTTGTTGTTGATCTGGAAGGTACTGAAAATGAAGAATTAAAAGGGGAGGATTCTGTTTTTTCCAAGAAGCTGGAATCTAGGAGAGTAACCACCTTAGCTCAGCCTACGACAGTGTTGTGCAGGTACAGAGAAAGACTTCCATTTTTGGAAGATTTTCAATTAATGATCTTAACTGTCTTCTTATCATCAAATCATCAAAAGCTGTGTGAAGCAGTAAGATACACATGGATGGCCACTTCTATGACTTTTGTCCAAGGAGCTGAATTTTGCTTTACAACCTTATTGAATGTTTACTTCCCATGTTTCCTCCCCCAAGTACTGGGACAGAAAAGTGTGAATGGCTCTGCCACCTACTTCACCTGCTCCACCGTGAGGGGAGTATGGATGTGTCCTGGAGGAGGGGGACGTAGCCTTGACCAGCAGCATTGGTCATTACTACTTAAGGAGCTCTCCCTTTAGTTCCTTACCTTAGCTCTGTCCTCTTGGTTTTCCCTTTTCTTTGTTCTTCCTTCTGGGAAGAGCAGATCAGCCACAGCTCTCAAGCCTGTGCAGGAAATTTTAGTCTTGGCAGTGGTGCTGAGAAACCTTGAGCTGGCACTGGTTGTAGACATTTGCCACATCTGTCAAGTGTCCCATTCTTTCCCCACCAGTTTTGGGTGAGTGGGTAGTTAGTTGGATCTGGGTTTTGGGACCTGTTGATTCAAATCCTCAGTACTTCCCTAATTCATCCATAATCTTCCCTCAGAGGGAACTCGGCTCAACAATAAGGTGAGGGGTTTATTTCTCTAGCACAACATTCTACTTCCTATCTGCAGTTTAAGAGTAGCATTTACAGCTCTCGGGATCTACAGAAAATGTGTGCAAGGATGTATTGTTTCAACATTTTCTGTGGGGGCCTGCAATTCCATGCTTCCTTTCTTATTCTGTGAATAGGTGAGTCACGTATAGTATAAAAGTTTAATTAACACCCTTTTCTGGGGTGTTTAATGGAACACACCGGATCTCTTCTCCCACTTTGCATCATGATCTGCTTTCTGGTCAGCTAGACTGGTTTTATCATGTTTATATCCCTCTTTAAGAATCACAGCGTATTTATCAGAAAGTAAATGTTAATTGCTTAAATAGTCATTTCGAATGAGTAAATGCAGTGCAGATTTGTATATCACCCAGCAGCTTATAAATTTGGTCTGCCCATCAGGTTTATTTCTGGAGCATTCCTTAAGTACATTTAAACCTAAATACAAAAATTCCTGTCTAGTCTGTTGACTCTGCACATTTGGTTTAGACTGGACAGTGTGAGAAGGCGTTGCTGTCTCACTGCCAGATACAAAATATGTAAGGAATTGCGACCTGGCATGGGTGATACTTTTTAAATTTTTTATTCCTCTCCTCGTTCTGCCCCCAATTAGTGAATTACCTGAGAGAGAAGAAGGAGAAGGAGAAGAAACTCCAAACTTCAGCCACTGGGGACCACCACGGACGTATGTTCATATGATGACATTATTTCTTCCCGTTTACCTTATGTCGATTAGTTCTTGTGGTTGTTTTTCCTCCCCTCCCTTGCCAATAACTTTAAGGTACTTGTGTACCTTGGGCTTTCTTAGATACAGTGAATTTTTAACAGATGTTCAACAGAATTATGCCTTCTATTTATACAGCTGACTTGGGAAAGCTTGGCGGGTTTACATTGTGGATGACCTACAAGTTCTTGCTCATTTAATAACTATTAGGTGTGAACAATGCTCATAGTGCTGCTGTCTCCTTTTCCATGGGTTCTCTGCTAAACTTAATGGCAGAGTTCCAAATTGCCAAGCCAAGTTTTAGCCACATCCTTGTTGTATTGTTAACATTTTTAGGTGAATTGCTTTTATGGTCCGAAGTAAAATAAGATCAGAACGTTGCTGCTTAAGCTGATGAATATACATCTGATACACCGAAGTCAGCATTCAGAAAGTTGTATGAAACATTTTATTATTTGTCTAGCATGCCACTTGCAGTGTTTGCCATTTCCAGATAATTTGCTCGAACTAGAAGAGCATGAGTGTTTACTTGAAGACCTGCCTGTTTTATCCTGACTTTCTCTGAAATAAAAGTCTATGCCCAGTGGGCATGAGTTGGCAGCAGAGTTTTCTTCTTTTTGTGGTGTAAGACCTGCTCAGGGTAAAAAGCCAACTCTTGAGAGCATTCTTGGGCTTCTAACTTTATCCTCTTACTCTATTAAATCTTCTTGAAAGACCAGAAGCTTACATTTATTTAAGGCTTTGCATTTATAGTTTAAAAAAACTGTTTCAAGCTGTTAAACTACCACATGTATTTTTTCAGCGTTGAGATCTTTAGAGACCCTCACGTGTCTCTTGGAATCAGTATTGTTGGTGGACAAACTATCATAAAGCGCCTGAAGAATGGAGAAGAACTTAAAGGGATCTTTATCAAACAAGTTTTGGAAGACAGCCCAGCAGGAAGAACAAGGGCTTTAAAAACTGGAGATAAAATACTTGAGGTAAATGCAGATAAACCTACCTTTTCATTCTAAGAAATAAAGATTGACTCAAACAGCTTGGGGAGGAGAGAGGAACAAAATACTGCCACCAATTCATGAAGTATTGATGACACTGTGTTTTGAAAACCAAAAGAAACCCCTGGTGTCATCTTTTCTTTTTTTAAGGTCTCACTATGGAACTCTTTTAACATTGTCCACTGTATTTAAAAGATAGATCCTGGTATCTGATGGGGAAATGAAAAACATGAGAGTGCATTATAAGTTATAGCATACCTTTATAAGCATAAGTTATGATATATAGAACAGGCTCTTCATGCTGAAATTTGGTCTGTTATTTTGTGTGTGTTAATCTGGAATAGTTAACAGTCTGATTAACTCCTATTTGCAAGAAGTCCTTGATGCTGGCAGGTGCCATAGGGGGAAAGCCATTCCTGGCTCTCATCTCTGGCTCTGTATTGACTTTTTACTCATTTTTCTTCAAAGGAATGCTACTGAATCTGGATTCCCATGCTGATAGTGCTGTTCTTGTATATGTTTTAGGGTTGTGTGTGAAGTTTTGAAAAATTGGTTCAAATCAGGTTTAGTTCACAAACAGGTAAAATCTGAAAGAGTTGCGTTATACCTACCATCATATCTAGCATTCTCTGTCAATCTTATTCCTTATGTTTTTAGCTAGAAGAATTGCTTTGGGAAACATATGGCCATCTTTTAATTATGAATACTAAGTAATATAATTTTTCCTAAACCATCTCGGAAATATACTTCAAAAATAATTTCTCTTGACTGCTTTTGGTACATTCCTCAGATATGCTAAATCTTCTGCAAATGTATGTGATCTCTTGTAACGACTATGTGCCAAAAATACAAGCTACCTAATAAAAAAACCCATTGTTTGTTAGGTTTCTGGGGTAGACCTACAAAACGCCACACACGAGGAAGCAGTAGAAGCTATCAAGAATGCAGGAAATCCTGTCGTGTTTGTGGTTCAGGGTTTGACTAACATACCAAAAGTAAGTTTATTTCTATTTTTACTCTAAAACTTAATAAATGTGTAATACTCACTTTAATCTTGGCTAAATTTCTTTCAGCAAGTGCCCTCAGTTTTTGTGTCCGTCCTTTCTGTCAGAATGTCTGTTTGTAGACCATGTGATTGATCAGTTCCTTGTCTGTCCTGATTTGAAACCTTGTTTCTCTGATGTAAATCAAGCAGATGTAAATCTGTTGACTAGGTGTTAATTCAGTTCTCCCACCTGTGTAGCTGAGTCTGGCCGTGTGTATTTTAATCTGTTTATATTTCATAATCTAAAAATATAATCTGTTATCCAAATGAACAAAACTGTAATTAAATTGGCCAGATTCACACCGTCAACTCTGTAAAATGTCATCAGAGAGACCTGAAGTAGTTATTTGGGAGCAAGTTAAATCATGAGATTTAGATGCCTCCTCACCTGCAAGGCCAAGGCAAGAAATCTTGAACTGCCTTAGTCAGAAGAGGCATACAATTCTGCCTGCCTTGTAGTACATACAAAACCCCCAAGACTTCTATGTACTTTTGGTATAATCTGACAATTTAATTGAGAATTTTGGTGGACTGGTAGACCAGAGGAGACCTTTTTGACAACTGTAGGCAAATCTGACACAGCTGTGTCCATTATTTTTCCGGTGCTCCAGGGAGCCTTTCAAAATCTAATAAGACTTTCACCAGCTATGCTGGGAAGGTGCTCAAGCAGTGATGGCAAAAATCAGTGTTGGTAGCGGAGTTGGTTCCCTTTCTGTATCAGCTTTTTCACAGAAAATACCTCAAAAACCTGTCAGAACGTTTAAGTATTCATCTGCATCTCTGACCCTTCCTTTCCTAGTCAGTCTAGTGAGAGCAAGGAAAGCATGGATAACTTGAAGTCTGAGTAGCTTTGCTTTGAACCGTAGGAAGCTGGGCATTCACAGACTTTGAGCAGTGCTGCACGGTCCCAACTCCCATTCACCACAATAAGGTGTTGTCAGAGGAGTGGGAGTATATTACATTTTGCAAGAATGAAGAGCAGCAAGGAGAAATGGATGCTAAACATGCTCTCTTTTATAAGGTGTCTGTGTGCATGGACACTGGTGTCTCTGAATAATTGAGAACTGACACTTCAGGAGTTCATACTGAGCTCTGTATCAGGGATGTACATCTCTATTGTTGACTTCAGAGTAATGTTTAATTGAATGAAGAGATGAGGCTAGATATCAAACAGTGAGCACTAAAACCGGTAGAGAATGTTTGTAAATTCAGTAAAAGAATGTAATTTAAAGACTGCACTGCAATTCCCTTCTGCATGGGGGAAAATGAAGAGTGCACTGGGTAGCTTTATTGTTGTCATTACCTAACATTTGGATATTTGTTTTGCAGCTATAATGCTCTTTCTAATGTGTGTGATATATGCATTTATTTTCAGGTGGTTTCCACCGTACAGCCTAAGGGAATGAAAGGCAGCAGAGATCAGGACGCAGACAAAGAAAATAAGAGTGAAAAGGTATTTATTCCATTCAATGCTCTACCCAAGTTTTACTAAATCGAATGGCATGCGATATAACTCTATGATAAGCCCCCCCCCTCTGAAGTATGAAATGAAATTTCAAGTGTTCTGTTGAAATATCTTTGATTCAAGTAATTTTTGCCAAATTTCTGCCAAAAACCAAGGCAGCTTTCTGACAAATGTTCTGTGGGTCTCCCTTGGGTGCTGAAACCCTGTACTTACTGCAGCTCTTTACTGGCATCTTTCTGGAAGTACCTGCTTTGCTCCACGTAGAGGCAAATTGATTCTCTTTGTTCAGTAGAAACAGAGAAATAACAACATGTACACAAATGATATCCTTAATGTGAGGCTGGCTGAAATTCAGTAAAATCATGTTATAGGATAATTAAATCCATGAAGTCTCCTACATTTCCCATTGCTGTGTAAAGCAAGGAAATGACCGAGTGATCTGTAGCTGGCCAGCTAATTGTGAAGCAATTACTGCACAGTAACTTTCAAGCAACTTCACAGCAGATTTAAAAGAGAAAAAAATCTGTTTGGTCTAAACCAGTGGATTTGTTTTAATTGCTGCAATGGTCTAAACCAGTGGATTTATTTTAATTGCTGCAATAAGGGAAAAATTTAATTTCTCATTCCCAGCCAGATTGCTGTAATGGCCTAAGTATTTTCCTGTGGGAACTGTGCTGACTGATGAGTGTAGGTCAGGTACTTTGAGGGTGTCAGAACTGGAGGAGCGGAGACAGAATTAGTGCAGATGATAACTTCTGCCCACTGCAGTTTAACATGCCAACTACGAATACGATGAACTTTTCACTTGACCCTACTCGGTTGTCTGGTGTGTGGTGGGTAATGGAGAAGGCCCTCTTGCCTCCAAAAGTTTTTGTAAGACTCCTGTCAGATCCAGAAGCTATGAAGCTCAGTTATTCAAAAAAATGAAGAAAGGTGTTGAAGTCATGCTTTCATGCTAGTGGATAATACTTAAAATGAAGCAGTTACAATCCCCTTTTCTTGGTTTTGTTATCTGTATTTCTAATCTCAAAAGCGCTCATCCTTTTGCAATGTGCTGCCTTTAATCTCCAAGACTCTAGTGTGTTGTGTTCTATAGCATTGGGAGGTTAAAGAGGGATCCTAATCTTTTTCAAACCTTTTTCATCTATTGGTGCTGTAAACTGGTGGGTGGAATACAGAAGAGTTTCAGTGCATAAATATGTAGCTCCCTTTTAGCTTTGAACATCGGTTCACAAAGCAGTCATACTGTGCTACAGTAGGGGCATCTCTGAGTTGGAAAGAGTTGCTATTAGTGGATTACTACTCCGTGTCCCTATGGGGAATCAATGATATTTCTAGTCCAGTCTTCAAAGCGTCACAAAAGAGTTTGGTTTGAAAGCAGCCACATCCAGCTGGAATATCTGCCTTTTCCTGTATGATGAATTATCTTTTCAATACTGAAGGTTTTCTCTGATTTGTTGGTGTTTATTCTCTATTGATCTATTTGTTTAAAAATGATCACTTGAAGTAATTTATATAAAACCACTTAAAACAATTGAGCTTCTTGTGGACAAACCCAGATATTAACATTATTTTGCTGGTTGGCTGTGTAAACTGCTTTTGCCTCTGTGCTGGGAAGAGCTGTGTTAATACAAAAACCCAGTGCAATGGAATGTTCTGGCACAATTTACTCATCTGGCTTTATAGCAGGTCAGGGTGGATGAGAGAAGCTTGTCCTTCTGAGCCATAGCAAACTGCTAGATAAGCTTAGGTGTCTCGTGTAATTTCATACAGACTTTCTAACAAATGTTTAAGGTCTTAAAAAGCCAAAGAGTCAACATTTAGACTATGAGTTATTACTGAATTACAGTGATACTACCGATTTGCCAGAGGCAGCCGAGAGCAGAGCTGCAGGTTTTCCATCTTTACCTGCTCAGTAATATAGAACGTGAGTCCTCTCACGCTTCCTGGATCTCCTGGATTTTGCACCAGTTCTATTTGTGCTGGCATCAAGCAAAAAGTGGGAGGTGTATTGTATACTCTGGGGAAACAGCTGTCATGTTTCCAAGTGTTCTTATTTTACACTATTGGATTGAATTAATTTAATTTATTACTGTTATGCTGTCTTCAATGCAGCACTCTCCTGTAATGTGTTTTAACGGATGGGATGATGGGATGGGAGATACCTCACAAAATTGTCTGTGTAGCTAGCATTGCAGTTTGCTAGTTAGACTATTCTATACAAATTTAGGCTCAAGATTTTAGAAATCCATATGCAGGTCCAGCTTTTATTGTACACAGCAAAAAATTTTGCTCTGGGCTTGTTTGGGTGTTGAGTCGTATTTCCCAGCTACAGAAGAAATTAATTACGGGCATTCTGGTTGCTCTAATGGCATATCATACTCAGTGTTCCCTTTCTAAAGTGCATCCTGCTATTAGTAGTGGGGTTGCATGGGATACAGTTAATTTACTGAAATCATGTAGCGAGCTAAGGCACGATCCAGTTACTTGGAGCTATAAAAACAGTTGCTCGGACGGACAAGCGACTCCATTAGATCCAGAGCCTATTCTTTATGCCTGCTATGCGCCGCTATATGCATCATTATAGGAGCTGCCTGTATTTATGTGAGGTAATAGAATTTTATTGTAAGTTATAATTCAGAATCTCTTCTTGTAAGTTATAATTCAAAATAGTTTTTAAATTTAAGCCATGTTTATGTTTAAATATTCGCAGATGCACTGAGAAGATTGAGTTCTTATTTTATGTTTCAAAGTTTGACTTTTATCAGTACCAGACAATTTTGGTGTTCAGTCTCCAATAAGAAATGGGGTAGAATTTAATGTATATTTTTAACCCTTGATTACTGTTCACACTTTCATGTTTATGGTGATAAGACAGCAAGTTAACGTGCATGCACAATTGAATTTTTAAACCGCAACAGGGAAGGTTTAAACTGGACATTAAAAAAAATTTTTTCACAGAAAGAGTGGTCAGAGAGTGGAACAGGCTGCCCAGGGAGGGGGTGGAGTCACCATCCCTGGATGTGTCCAAGGGTCGTTTGGATGAGATGTTGGGGGGTATGGTGTAGGGGAGAACTTTGTAGAGTCGAGCTGAAGGTTGGACTCGATGATCCCAGGGATCTTTTCCAACCTGAATGATTCTGTGATTCTGTATTTTCTTTTTTTTTGATGTTTAGTATCACTTCTTGTTCTGATTTCTTGCATGAAATGTCTATGCTGCAGAATTTAGCATTGTAATTAAGTGCTGTGTTTGTACACATACATTCCAGTAGACAATGGGGGGGGGGTGCATGAAGTTACAAAACACGTAACTGTTTGTCTTTGAATCCATTAGAGAAAATATGGGGCTCCGCCTCCAATGAAATTGCCACCTCCTTACAGAGCACTTGAAAGGCTGCATGCAGAGGAAGCTAACATGGATGAAGAGGAGGATGAGGATGCTTGTGCAGAGAGTGAGTAGTGCCACAACCATTACATTTTATGGAACACAGTCAGATTGTGATAAACATATATGCCATTTATTGCTTGTATTATGGGAAGTAGTGCTCAGGGTGGCAATAGCATCTCATCCTCAACCTTGTTCTTACCAACGGCTACTGATTTATAACTTAGATAGTCTCTTCCTAGCCAGGCTCCTATAGCTCAGCTCTTCTGAAGAGATGGAGGAAGGGCTCTGTTTATTTTCAGTCTAAAAATGTCCAAGCAATGTCTAGAGGACTTGCTTGGGCAGCGATGTCAGCAGTGAAAGACAGGTGTTGTGCTTTACTGTTATCATTGCAGCCATAGTTGAGCAGACACAGGTTGAGAACCTGGTGCGCAATCCTCCAGAAAAGCCTGCAGTGGATTTCAGACAATGCTGTTCAAGAAAAATATTTTCCTTGAAAAAGAAAAATCTGCTGACCTTTTGTTTCAGTACTCTACTGAAAAAAGGATCCACTTTTTTTTGTAGCACCTTTTATGGGAAAGGTTCTGCAATTGTCCAGTTCAGGGTTTTGCAATGAATTGTGATGATATGTGCTCTATGGAAGAGCAGAGACCTGAAGAGTAGGATGCAGTGTAACCTGAGAGCTTCTGGCAGCGTGACTTAGATTCCAGCATACTGCTTTGTTGATTACAGCTTTGGATCAACAGAATATTATTATCCATAGCTTATCTTCCAATTAAATATGTAGGAATACTAATATTGCAGTTAAAGAGTCCTAAATTATCTTCTAAAATTACTTACCTTTTATTTTTTTTTCTCTGCATACTATTTTGTATCAAATCAGCATACATGTGGAGGTTTTGTTGGAGTTTGGTTTGGGTTTTTTTGCTGCAGTGATTTTTCTCGCCATCCTTTGTATTGGAGAGGGTTTTGTTTGCCCTAGTTCTGGGTAAGCCAAAGCAGAGAGATGCCTTTGTAGCTTTTGACCTTGAAGCACCCATGGCTCCCATTCAGAGTGGAAGTTCCTAGCTTGGGGCCTGCTGGTGGGAAAGCTCTTCCAGCAGCCCTTGCTCATTTCCTTGGCAATGGTGTGCCATTGAAGCCAAGATAATTAATGAGTTTGGTTGGTTTGTCATTTTTAGGGTTGCTTTGGTGGAGATGAGAAGGATTTTGGAAGGTTGTTCTCATGGAAACAGTAATGGGGACACAGAAGCAGAGTGTTCAGCTCTGCCTCTGTTGCTTTAAGGGAAAGCTGTGAGTTCTTGAACCAACCGGAGATTTTTCCAGATCTCCCCCTTACTGAGATTGTCATCTCATCTGTTTGAAGTATGCCACGTAGTCACCTCAGGAAGGTTTTTCACTGGTTTTGTGGGGAGTGGGAGTGAGGAGGAGCATTTGACTGCAGACTCTGTGGATGTTGAATAGAATATATCTTGAGCTTTCAAACCAACTCTAAACCATGAATTGTAGCAAATTGATTTCAGCTTGTTATCAAAGTTATAATTCCCAGATAAAAGATATATTTGGTAAGTAGGTTGACACCTGAGTTATCAAATTAGGATATGCCTCAATCTGAGTGCTTGCTAGACCTAAGTTAATATGTTGCACAGAAATAATTTCTTATTGATGGGCTTGGTGGTTTTTGAAGCTGTTCTGCCATGCCTAATGATATTGCCAGCTGAGTCTTAATAGCTAAAAAGGTAAAGCTACTTCTGATATTAAATTTATCAATCCTACCTGATGTGGCAGCAGCAAACAGATCTATTCAGATGAATCTCTTTCTCTCTACCCTTTTTACTGACTGAAGTTGAATGTTTTGCAACAGTTATCTTTCCCGTGAATCTTGGAAAACCAAGATACTTGTTTTCCATTCTATTCGTCTCCAACTTGTTCTGTTTCTTTAAAATAAAAAACAGACTAAGGAAGCTTAAACTAAGTTTGTACTTCAACCCTTGAAGAAAAGCATGTTAGAAATTATCTAACTGTACTTAATGATATTTAACATCTTGGCAGCTATGGAATGGGCTTTTACAGAGTGTCTTTTTTGTGATCACTTAAAAAACAAAGTTTTCTCTGTAAATTCCAGTACAGTATTGTTTTTGTGAACTACTTGAGGTTTATAACTTCTATTCTGTTTTGAGCACCTTTCCCAGAAATCTTAGCCCAGGTCAGTACTTGCCTTTTTAACAATGTCCATTTGCATGTTCATGTCAGTCTATTCCTCACCCACTTTATCCTACTAATTCTACTGATTTTGTAACCTTAACTAATTTTCTGAGCCTCAGTGCACAGGTGAACTAGATTTATTGTCTTTCTTATTTAGAAGATAAGGTATCTTAAAAGGAAGAAGCAGTGTCAGCTTGGGTAAATTCACGTCATAGCCTCTCCTCCTTTCATTTACTTCCTGTAGTTCTCAGTCTCTGCCATTAGCATGGAAAGCCTTAGCGGGCATTTTGAGGTGGGACAGCTGTTAAATCCTGATGGATTTTATTTTATTTTTTTTGCATTCTTATTAATACAGCTGCAGTGTCACAAACGGGCTCGTCAAGTTCTTTCCTACTCCAGAAATACTTCACTTGCTCCACTTGACATTTTATTTCCTTGCTTGTTACTTTTTTTGACCCACATTCTTATCTTTTGTCTCTGTGTCCTTCATCATTTCCCATACTGAAAATGAAAGCGAAGCATTGTTAGTCTTCCTGCCATATTTAGAAGATTTTTCTTTCCTTTCTGTCCCATCCATACTGCCTCAGAGTCTTCATGTTTTGCTTGTTTTCTCCTTAAAGTGGCTGAATAACCTTTTGGTATTGATTTAATTTCCCCTGCGGGATCTAAATCCACTTGCCTTTTGGCAATGCTCCCTTTTATTTCTGCTTTTCCACCACTGAAACTGTAGCTTTCATTGCTGACTTGTTGGAACAAACAGTCATTTCTTGTAGATGTTCTCCCTTTTCAAATGTTTTTGATCCAGTTAGGGTGAATCCTTGTTAGGAATAGAACTATGGGGTAGCTCTTGGTTTAGAGAAACTCCAAACGTCCTCCATGTTTCTGTGGTTTAAGAAGTTTAAAGTTCCAGGTGTTTGGGATTTTTTCCAAGCGTGTCTTCTTGCACCCAAGACCCTTAGCTTCAGACCTGCTTCTGCTCTATATTTCAGTTTCATTTGAACCACCATTACTTCCAATATTATTTTCTAAGTTATTAGCTAGACTTTGAAGGCAAGTTGAAAATAGTATTTCCTGTTGTTGTACTACTACTTCTAGTGATACTGTCAAATCTTTATCAGTATTCAACTCTAAACCTATGTGATGTGGTTTCTGTTTACTCTTTGCTCTGACTTTGCTGTTTGAAGTCTTTCAGTTTACGCTTTAAAATAGTTTTGTAAAACTTGCAGTGTGTGCATCCTGCTGCAAAAGGAGCCTTAAAAATGCTTCATCTTGCTCTCCATGAAGAGGTTTTTTAGGCTTCCCAAGCCTTAAAACCATCAGGTTTTGAATAGGATTTTTTTTTTTTTAAATCAAAACAAGTAAAAGGAGGGGGGAGAGCGTACAAAGGAGCTATTTGTACTTGCAAGCAGCTGTGCTACAGACTGCATCAATAGGCATTGGTGTGTTTTCCTGGAGTGGTGGATGGCTGTAGGTGTGCACTAAGAATCTGCTAATAGACTAATGTGCACCCTGTTGCGCCTTATTGCTCTAATGAGGGGTTAGTAGTAAAAAGAAGCAGAGGAAATGGATGGGCAGAGTAGTTTGTAATGGAATGTTTTGTAAGGTTTTCCTTGGGGCATTCATAACTGTACAATTTAGATATACTTTTGCGATTGAGTCGAAGCGATTGTAAGTTAAGAAGGACCTTAAAAAGGACAAATGCTGAAAGAACTTGGAATCCTTAATTTCAGTTGATATTATATTTTTTAGAAAAGTCTTTTGTCTAGTTAGTTGACCGAGATTGATCTGGCTGGTTTCAAGTAAGTTTAAAATAATAAAAACAGATAATAATAAAAAATTTGTGGAAGGTGACTAAGATAATGGACTAGATACTGCTGTGCTCAGACTTCCTGTCTGCAAGGATATTTAACTGTATCTAATAAGGGGATAATAACACCCCCTTCCTTTTATTTTGTCTCTAGATAATGTAGAAATCAATGAAGCTGTAAGAAAGCATAATGATTTATCTTCCTAAAATGCTTCTTGAGAAATGGTGGTTTCTCTACCAAAGCAAGAGATTTGAAAACTACTGTAGTATTTCGACTCTGCATTCCCTATAGTGATAAATCTGTGGATGTGGAGGGGACAAGAGGGGAGAGTCTGTGAGTGCTCACGTGTGTAAGTTGGTTCAGACAAACCCCACGCTGCCTGTTGTGTCAGTAGGGTTGAGTTGGGGTTGGAAAGCTCTTGGGCGTGTGAGCAGAGTGCTTTCATCACACCTAAGGTTTTTAGCAGCTTCCGTAGTGTCAGCGATATCCATATTCACGTGAGAGGATGGTGGCTTTCATTAAAAACCAAAAGGTGAAAAAAAGCAATAGAGTTCAGTTGAGTTTTTGTAGAAGATATGGTCAAGTATACGGGGTGTGCAAAAATACGTCCTCAGGAAGCGTCTGCGTACTGCTGTGGGCAAAGAGGGGAAAAAAGATCATTGGCACTTTGGACAAATGCCAGAATTATTAACAATGACTGAAATCAAAACCACTGACAAATTGGTATAATTCTTGAGGATCTGACTGTTTAGAGTCTTTTATGCAAAACTGTGCTAAACCAAAGGAAGAGTCATTCTTAATTTATTTTTAATTTTGGGGGGGACACACCTGAAAACAGTGATGTTCAGGTGAGGCAGCTTGTGTAGCCAAACACTGCCTCTCCAATAGATGTCACTGCAATCAACAGCAAATAGAGATGATGTTCAACGAGTAAGAGAGAGCTTGGAAAAATGCTTCAAGCTTCATGAAAATAAAATATTGAAAAATGAATAATTGCAATATTTAATTTTCTCAAATATAGTAACAAGTGTGTTCGGGATGGTGGATTTCCAAA